GGACCCAGGAGGGAGTGGAGGCGGCCGCCCTATTTCAGCCCTGGGGTCTAAGGTTGTGCCTCCCCTCCCCCAGTCAGTCTAACCCTCCCGCTTAATGCTGAGAAAGGGGAACACTGTGGTTCCTCTGGTCACCTTGGTGGTCTCAGCTACGCTCAGCAAGTGAGTGTTGGCTCCCCCCAGTACCCTTCTGGTGCAGGAAGCAGCGGAAAGAACTAGTAGTTCAGAGCTAAGAAAAACCAGACACCTTGAAGTGAAGTGTGAAAGTAGAGCCCCACGCCTGGAAATGACTGTTCTTGTGGCCACAGAAAACAGCATTTAGAAAAGATTAAAAATAGAGGTGATTGTCACAGCCTTGCTTGGTCCTTTAGCAGTATGAGCGCAGGAAACTGACTTATTCTCACCGGAAGGATTTTTCTTTATTCAAATGGTGTTCCAGGAAGCCTGTCCCCTCCCCCCGCACGGGCGGGGGCAGGGTTGGAGGCCCATGCTGTACATAAATCAGGTTCTCGGTGTTGAACCAGTTGACTCAGCTTGGAAAGTGGGGCCTGCTGCTTTAGGGGGAGCCCGGCAGTGCTCCTCAGTGTGCCTTTAAAACGAAAACCTTCAGACTTGGTTTGAACAGGAATGTGTTTTCGGAAGTGGAGATTCAAGCTTGTCATTCCTGCCCCATCAGGATCTCCCAGTCCACCCTAGTTATGAAATGGGGTCAAGGGAAGGGTCCCCAGGAGGGAAGGTTGGTTGTAGTCAGGTGCAGGGCCTGGCTTATGGAGAGTCAGTGCTGAAGGGGGCTCCAAGGTCAGGCCTTTGGCCCAGGACCCTCACTGAACAGATGAGGAGGTCAAGCCTGTCAGCTGCTGCCTTGGTCTGGGTGCAGAGCCTTGTTGAAGGTCATGTCTTGGGACTCCCCTGCCTGGTGACAGGTTCCTTGAGGCTGCTTAGAGGCCTGGGCTTAGCACATCCCGGGGATGGTCGTTTCTCCATTCGTGGCAGCGGCAGAAACCTTGTTACCATGGAGAGTGTTCACCTGGGGTTGGGGAAAGGGAGGTTAGTGGATAGAGAGAACTGAAACCCTGGCAAATACCGGACCCAGGTAGGGAGAAGAATGGAACTGATATTTATTGAGTCTCTATCATGTGCCAAGAATTGGACTTAGACCATTGAGGACAGGGGAGCAGGGAGAGGGAGAGAGGGATTGGGGTTGGGGAGGGCAGAGAGGGACCCTGTCCTGGGGCTATATAGGGAAGTGTGTGTGGCGGGAGATCACGCAGATGGGGTAGAAGGAACTCGGCTGTGCATCTTCGCACACCGCGCGCCATCATGCTCTGGCTCTGACCTCGGATAGGTCACATACCCTTTCACAACTCAGCATTCTCCTCTGTGACGTGGCAGACAGCCGTGCTGGCTTCCTAGGTTCTGTGGGAGCCTTATGGGCTAACATCAGCATCACGGGGCACACAGCAAGTGTCTGCTCAGGTCTGCCGCTAGAGCGGCAGCACGGGATTGTGGGAGGAGCTTGGGTGCCAGGGCCATCTAGACAGCTTAGTTTTGTGACCCTGTGCAGGTAATTTCCGTTCTCTGAGCCTCAATTCCATTGCCTTTAAAATGAGATAATGATTGTTGTTGCTGGGATTTTTGGAATGAGATGGCATGTGAAAGCACCAGGCACAGGATCCGAGACCTTGTGGCGATTTAAAAGTATGAGTTCCTTTCCCCCTCAGTGAAGCAGCTTCTAGACTTCTGGATCAGGGCTCTGTCCAGAGCAGTGGTTTTGAGCGATTTTGCACCCCTCCCCTCCACCTCAGGAAATTAGAAACATTTTGATAGTTACAGCTTGGGGATGCCACTGGAATCCAGTGGGCAGAGGCCTATGACCCACAGCTGAGATCCCACGTCAGAGAATTGTGGGTCCACAGTGTCAGTTGTGCCGTGATTGAGGAAGATCTAGAGATCAAGGGCTGGGCAGGGTTCCCCCAGCACCACAGCCTATTCTCTGAAAAGGTCTAAAGCCAGCCAAGTATGACAGCCGGCTTCATGAATGATAGGTGATTTCAGGGAGGCCCTCCCTGCACCCCACATCACCCAGCTGCTGAAGGCCCTCACCCATCAATGGACTGAGTGATTGCTGGACACATGGTGCTGAGGTAACGCCACAGCAGGGGCTTTTTGCCCCCGTGGACTAGTTTTATCCCTGCCCTTCCCCATCCATCATTTGAATGATTCCATTTGTTAATTGTGCCAGGTTTATATGAAGAGCAAGTGAGCCTATGTTTTCTGTTCAGCCTATGGGATCGTGCTTATTGCTTTGGGGACACCACATTAGAAAAGAGTTACAAGGTCCGGGCACGGTGGCTCACACCTGTAATCCCAGCACTTTGTGAGGCCGAGGCTGGCGGATCACGAGGTCAGGAGATCGAGACCATTTTGCCTAACACAGTGAAACCCCGTCTCTACTAAAAATACAAAAAAAAAAATTAGGTGTGGTGGTGGGTGCCTGTAGTCCCAGCTACTCGGGAGGCTGAAGTCGGAGAATGGCATGAACCCGGGAGGCAGAGCTTGCAGTGAGCCGAGATGGCACCACTGCACTCCAGCCTGGGCAACAGAGCGAGACTCCATCTCAAAAAAAAAAAAAAAAAAGGAAGAGTTAAAAAGGTAGCGGTTATCAGTGGCTGATATCAGGCTGGCCTTGTTTGGATGGGGGAAAAGAAACTCCAGAGCTGAAAGACAGAGGGACTGGGCTGCCTCTTGAGTGTGGAAGGTGGATCAGAGCCAAGCAGGGAGCTGGGGAACCAGGGCTGGGAGTGGCTCGCCTGGTGGCGCAGACCCAGCTCACTCAAGATGGAGCTCACACTGGGGAAGCCAGGAGATTCAGCTCTGCTCCGAAGGCCCTTCCTGTCTGCACGTGGGTATCACTGCGTGAAGAGGAGTAGAGACCCGATTGGGCAGAAGCCATTCCTTGTTCTATTTTTGAAGCTTTTTGGCTGAAGCCAGTGTTTCACACGAGGAAATGAAAGTTGGCTGATGTAATTCAGTTTAAAATAGGTGTCACCTTTGGGGACCTAACCCAGATTGTAATTTTCTTTTGCATGCTGGGTATTCAGAACTCAGCAAAGAATGTGTTGTCAGGATTGCAACTGAGGTTGGGGGGGGTAACGGTGGAGACTGGCTCATTGTTGACAAAAGCTTCTGTTAGATTGATAAACTCTTTCCAGGTAACAGTTGGGACCTCATTGATCCCAATAGGTCTTAGAAGTTCTAGCACATCTAAATTTCCTTAATAGTTTAATTGAGGAAGAGCATTGATGAAGAACTGGGAGATCTCCCTTTGTACCTACATTTCCCCCTTTTTAGAGTGAGAAGATGAGAACGGCCTCCAGTTCGCATGTACGGGTGCTGTGAGGATCCAGCAGGGGAGATACAGTGCCCAGCACCAAGCAGGGGCAAGTGAGCGCAGTCCAGTTTTACAGCAAGTTACCCCTCAAGGGCAGTTGCTTTGATGGGGAAGGTAGAGAGGGAGGAAGAAGGAGGGTTTGCATGGTTGGCAGAGGTGCCCTGCACCCTCCCCGTGCGGGCGGTAAACAGTCTCTGCCCACCTGGAAGCCGTGGAAGGTGGGTGGTATGGATGAGATCCCATCTGACTGTTCCCTGAGCTGTTTCTGAAGTGAGCTTGTTAATGACAGTGTGGACATGCTTGAGCCTAGCCATCCTTAACTGGTGGTGATGCACAGGGGACATGCTTCGGGCATTCCATGCAGCCTTGCGGAACTCACCCGTCAACACCAAGAATCAAGCTGTGAAGGTAAAGGGGTGGCGCTGCGGCTCTGCTGGGTGCTGTTGGGACCAGGGCTGTGGGTGTCTGGCCAGTGGGAGTGTGAGCTCCTCGGGGCTCTGGGCGGCGTCCGTTTCATCCGCATCAGAGGGAGTGAGCTGGCACCGGGCAGTGCTTCCACGGGAGCCTCCTGGCACTCCCTAGGTGGTGAGGCTCCTCTGACATCAAAGCTGTCAGTGTTTATACGAGAAACTCCCCAGGGAAGCCTTCACTCCCGCTCGCGGCCTCGTAGGCTGAGAAGTCAGCCTGGCCCTGGCTGATGAGGAAAGTGCATGAATTCGCTCACCTGTGGTGCTTATGCTCCTACAGCCTGAATAGGCTTTGTCTGCCCAAGGATTTTAAGTACCTGTATGCTTTCCTACCTTCTAAAAACTAAATGGTGCTTACTGCATCACCAAGGCTAAAATTTGGTTCAGGGAAAGGGGTCTCCCTGCAGCCGGGATTCTAGCAGCTGTGACAGCATCTTGATGTCACCGATGGCTGCACCTTCACAGAGTTCTGGGGAACGGCCCCAGCCTTCTGGGTGTGAACACAAGAGGGATGCTGGAGCCGAGTCAACTTAGTTTGATTTTTTGATAGTCCACCACCATTGTGGAGTATAATAAGGCCTTATTGGTGTCATCTAAAATAGTGATGGGCTGGGTGCTGTGGTTTATGCCTGTAATCCCAGCACTTTGGTAGATGGAAGGATCACTTGAGCTCAGGAGTTTGAGACCAGCCTGGGCAACACAGCGAGACTTTGTCAGTATTAAAAATTAAAAAAATAATTAGCTGGGCATGGTGGTATGTGCGTGTAGCCCTAACTGAGGTGGGAGGATTGCTTGAGCCTGGGAGAGGCTGCAGTGAGCTGAGCTTGCACCACTGCACTCCAGCCTAGGCAACAGAGCGAGACCCTGCCCCTGTCTCCCTCTCTTTTTCCCTCGTTTTTATTTTCTCTCTCTCAGAGTTGATACTTGTCCTAGTAAACTACTTACTCCCCCCAAAATAAGTAGAATAACTTGTTGGCATAAATAAAAGATACTTTGAAATTTAAATACACAAAAGACCTCCTATCCTGCTTATTTAAGCCATCCTGGACGAATTAGAAACTGGGTGGTGTTTCTGGAGACCTGTGTCCTTGCTTTGGTGTGGGGCATGGCGGCCTGCACAGCTCTGGGCCTCACTTGCTCTTTTTCGTCTGCAGGAGCGAGCCCAGGGCGTGGTGCTGAAAGTGCTCACAAACTTCAAGAGCAGCGAGATTGAGCAGGCTGTGCAGTCACTGGACAGAAACGGTGTTGACTTGTTAATGAAGTACATTTATAAAGGCTTTGAGAAGCCCACAGAAAATAGCAGTGCAGTGTTACTCCAGTGGCACGAAAAGGTATGTGAACGCTGCCATGCACCCCAGTGAGCCACCTGGCTTGCCCCAGTGTTCAATCAGCAGGCCGGATTTTCCAGAACAAACGTAGGTCGGTCTGCTAGGCGTGTGGGGTCAGAGGACGAGCCCCAACCTGGAACATCTGGTCACTGCCCTCTCCCAAGGAAGCTCCTGGTAGGGACTTGCTGTTTCTGGTCATCGCAGTTACTTTTTTGCTTTTAGCTGCCGATTTGTGCCAGGCAGGACAGGGTGCCCTTGGTACAGGACATGTGGGCAGATAACACGGCATGGTAAGGTGGTCGGGGAGTCTAGGTAGGAAGGGGGCTTGCTGGTTGGTTGGGGCTTCATGATACTTTGCAGTGGTGGAGGCAGCTGTCGGGGGTTCTTAGAAATAAAGTCCTCCAGCCAGCTCTAAGGGCTTCCTCCCGCCCTGGCCTCAGCCTTACCAGGCCAGAGTGAGCAGTGGGCAGAAATCTTGACCTCGCTTAATATGGCCTTCATCCAGGTGAAGCAGAAAGAGCTGTGTCTGCCCTTCGCTTGGGTCTGTGTGAGAGCAAGGCCTTTGGCAGCCTGTGTCCTGCCTGTACCACTGGGGCTGCCTCCCACACCTTCCCCCACACACCCCTAGTGCCACAGTAAGCACGCCCACCATTAAAGCAGACCAGGCAGTTACTAACGTGCCTGCCTTCCTCAGAGGCTCAGTGTTGAGTTGGAAGAGAGGGGTTTTACAGTGGGCCAGTCCTTAAGGTGGTGTTGGTGCTGGGCTGTGGTTGTGGCCTTAGGTCTGCTGGTGGGTGTGCTGTGCCTCCTTGGCCTCCACTCTCCTGGGCTCAGAAGGAAGTGAACAAGTCCTCTGTATGATGGGAAGGCCAGGCCCTCTCGTCCCTTTAAGGCAGCTTGGTGCCTGCCAGCCACCTCAGCAGGCGGCACTCAGTGGGCTTGTGTGCATCTGTAAACTCAGCACTTTGGGAGGCTGAGGCAGGAGGATCGCTGGAGCCCAGGAGTTCGAGACCAGCCCAGGCAATGTAGTGAGACCCCATCTCTACAAAAAAACAAATTAGGTGGGGTGCGGTGGCTCACGCCTGTAATCCCAACACTTTGGGAAGTGGAGGCAGGCAGATGACCTGAGGTCAGTAGTTCGAGACCAGCCTGGGCAACATGGTGAAACCCCGTCTCTACTAAAAATACAAAAATTAGCTGGGGGTGGTGGTGGGCGCCTGTAATCCCAGCTACTTGGGAGGCTGAGGCAGGAGAATTGCTTGAACCGGGGAGGCGGGGTTGCAGTGAGCTGAGATCATGCCATTGCACTCTAGCCTGGGCAACAAAAGCAAAACTCCATCTCAAAAAAAATAAAATAAAATAGCTGGGCATGGTGGTACACACCTGTGGTCCCAGGTACTCAGGAGGATCGCTTGAGCCCAGGACATCAAGGCTGTGCAGTGAGCTGTGATCTGGGCGACAGAGTGACACCCTGTCTCAAAAGGGAAACTTGAGGGGCTCTGCTTTGTGTGCTTAGTGACAGCGTTCTCAAGCCAGTTCTGCTCGAGAGCCGGCAGCTCTCAGGACCCCACGGCTCCAGGCCAGGGCTCCTTCCCTAGAATGTGCTCTGTCTCAGGAATCCTCTTTCAAGGGATCTGTGATGGATCTAGGTCAGGGAGTGTCCCCCCTGTCTCTGGCAAGCCAGGCTCCCCTTGGCCAGCCAGGTCTCATCTGACACGTTTTCTTTTCCTGCCCCCACAGGCCTTAGCAGTAGGAGGACTAGGCTCCATTATAAGAGTTCTTACAGCAAGAAAGACTGTTTAAAAAAAAATAAAAAGACTCATGTTACCTTGAGAAGAATTCTGGATGCCCAGGCTGGTGAAGAAGGGATTGACAATGGACCATCTTCCTAGGAACTCCCAAGTAAACTATTTCAGGACATGTATCTGCTGAAATGTGTTTTATTTTCAAGGTGGAGGGAAAAATCGTCTATTTCCTAAATCCTGTTTAGGATCTGATAGTCTATGCCTTTGTCTCCGAGTACTGCAGAACTGACATTTTGACGATCTACCAGAGTGGCAGCTGGCGTTGGTCAGGTGCACCTGTGTGCACTGGGGGAGGGATGGTTTGGGCAGGTGCAGATCCAAGGGCTGTGGTAAACGGGAGAGCTTGTGTTTTTGAAGTGGAAAAAAACCCAAGAGTTTGTACAGACATCCCGTCTTCCCAGAGAAGGTGGACACTCTTGGGCTCATTGTAAAGTGCCTGCTGCATCAATAAAGCTCTTGGCTTATTAGTATATACATTGCGGTGTGTTTCATATATGTAAAAAAATGGTAATGAATGGGATGGTAATGAATGAGAGTTCAGTTGTTCCGGAAACCCGACGTGGGAGGAGTAGACCTGTGCCCCTGCTGAGTCACCCCTAGGAGCGAGCATGGCAATCCACAGGCCCTCTGCCACAGGACGCCAGCCTTGGCCTCAGAGCCGCTGGCTGCTGCAGAGAGGTGTTTGCTGAATGAACTATTTATTGTTTCTTACTCCTTTGATTTGTATGTAATTAATTTTGGAGCTTATTTAATAAAGTGCCAAACATTTAATAATTGATCTAGGCTTTAGAAGTCTTCAGTTTGTGGGATTGCACTTGGAATCTTTTGAGGGTGGGGCCTCCGATGTGCCTGGTCACGTTTCCTGATGCTGGGTTGGCTGTGCTGCAGAATCACTGCTGCCTGGACAAGTTTTCTTTAAAGAACTAAACGTCAGGAATGGGGAGCAATCAGCAAATAGATAGAAGGGATAATTTTGTTTCCCATAACCAGTAACAGAGCCTCTCTGAAGGGCAAAAATGCTTTTCTTTCCTTTTCAGCACGTGTAACTGCAGCTTGCATTCTGTTAAAGGTTAGGGCCCCATTCACACTCCTGAAGCTCCTCTGGATCATACAGCCCTTGGATACAGACTTTGACCAAAGTGACACAGTCCTCCCCTCCACAGCTCTCCGCTCCTCAGCCCCTCTGCAGAACCACTGCAATTCTTGGGGAGTAGAATGAGGCTGTTGGCTTCATTAAATTACATTTATTCACCCAAATCCAGTCGGGGGAGGTTCTTTCTGAAAGACAAACATTCTCTAGCCCTTGAAGTTGGCCTTGGAGTGTTAAATATGAGACACAAAATACCAGATTTAATGAGTCAAAGAAATAGTGACACGCCAAACTAGTAAAATCCATTGTAGTTGCATCTGGATTGAAGAGCTTTAATCAAAAAGTGTATTGCACCACAGATGAATTTTCTACAGCAGTTTTCAAGAATACAATCCTATTTACAACATGGAAGGAGAGCTCAATCCACTGCTTGTATAAAGGGCTATAGATACCGTCGCTATCACAAAGTTTTATACAAGTCAAAGTGCATTAAATCACTTAGAATATTTACTCCACTCTTCCTCTTAAAGCTGAAGGAAATTCAACATGCAGGAGGAAAGCCTAGTCAGTGAAGCCTCCCTAAAGTGAGTACAGACCTAGGAACGGGCCCCACAGCTACACCTAAAACGGCTGAGGAGTGGGACCTGGGGTGCGTGTGGGGCCAGTTCAAGGGCTGGAGAAGCCACGGAGGCAGCAGACGGGCTTCCGTGGAAAAGTAGCTGCCTTTGGCTGGCCTTGAGCTACCCAGTCGTAGAGATGCTCTCCTGGAACAGTCGAGAAAGGAAATCTTACTTTGAAAAAAGGCTGCCTCTTACCCATCAAACTTGGAGAAGAGACTCCTGTTTCGTGTTCCCACCAGGTAAATGGAAATTCGTGTTCTAAACAAGGGACAACTGTGTCTGCAAGGAGGAGCCAGACGAGGTGGTCAGTCACTGGAGAAGGGTGCCTCTGGAAGGCAGAGAGCCTGAGCTGGGACTAAGGAGATGCTGCCCTGGCTTGGTTCTTCATGGAAATTTCGTTAGGTTAACGTTGCAAATAGGTGTTTTTCTGTGACATACATTTTATATACCTATGTTGGCCCTAAGCATGATTGAGAAATACAACTTTCCATCACTGGATAATGGATAATAAATTTAGGAGCTCCAGTTATTAATTTAGTTTTTTATTTAACCAGTGAAACTTTCATCAAACAATAAACTGTTTCCTTTCAGATTCAATATTGTGGTTTTTCCAGAACCAGCATGTTCCCTTTCCTCAGTAGCGAGGAATCCATGAAACAAATTTTTGTTGGTTACTACCAGAGTCGTGCATGCTACAAGTGCCGCAGCCAGCTGGGGGCCGTCCGGGTGTAGTGTCATTTTAAGTATTTGGGGTGGGATAAGGGGGAGAGAGTGGCTCCACACACAAGGTTGACTGCCCCAATGTCTCCATCAAGGCTGGGGGACAGCTGCTGCCCCACTGGAGACAGCGGACTGTCCTTCAGCAGAAGACGGGTGATCTGCATTGCCCAGCGGCCGCGCAGCACAGAATCAAGACAGACGCCACTGCGCTTCAGAGGGAGCAGTGCCGGAGTGCGAGTGAGAAGACAAAGGAACGGGAATCCGAGTTTTAGGAAGAATTCCCTCTGGACGCTCTGATTTTAAGAACACCAGTTAAATGGATTTTATAATACAGAAGACATGTTTATAGTAGTGAAGAACTTCAGCTATAAAAAATAGTTTAAAATGGTTTACCAGCAACCTATCCAAGACAAGTACATTCATTAAAAAGGCAATTGAGTGTATTTGGTACTATACTTAGGGTCTTTTCATGTATTTGCTAGTTTTCTTAAGTGGAGATACCATCAGAAAGGTGCATATTCCTCATTCATCCACACCGGCCCTTAAAGATGGATCCTCTAAAGTTCTAGGTGGTTTGAGAGACAAGGTGAAAGAATGTTTTCTTGAGAGGAAGGGATAAAAAGCTTCTAACTCTCTGAATTTTTAAAAGCCACTCCCATGGAGTTCCCATGGAGTTGGCTGTTCCTGGCAGAGGCAGGTGGGTTTCGCCTGCCGGGCACCATCTCAAAGGGCCGTCTCTACCTCCCGCGGCATCGCTACATGGTGACTCAGGTGTGCCTGCCAGATGCTGATGGCTTCAGCTGTAAGTGCTACTGTGAAGTTAGAGGATTCAGGTGCAGACGGGGTGCTGGCTGGAGCTGGGATATTAGCAGCACTGTGGAAATCTGGGTAGTGCCAGTACCCTCCTGTTTGGTGACCAGAATGACAGGATCAGCTACCCCCTGAGGTTCAGGTCAGCCTGCAGGGAAGTGGGCCTTAGTCTTGTAAACAATGTTTAGACGCTTGTACAAAATACTGCAGTTACAGTGATTAAAAACCCACCCAGACTGGTGTGTCAGTGTTCTTTTCACAGAAAAAGTGTCAACCCACGGAGCTCCATCCTTGGGTAGTCCCCTCTAGGACCATGGTATCCGAGGGTTTGAGATAGATGGCCGGATGCTGCCTTTGGGAGCTGGTTTGGACCCAAACCATGACATCTGCATTTGAAACAGAAAAGGCTTCTTAGATGCAAATCAGGACTTAGTGCCAGGGAAACTGAACCACCCCTCCCCTCCCCTGAGCCTGTCACTCCTGCCCCCCACGCATCCTGCCTTTGGCTCTGAGCACAGCAAGAAGATGGTTCCAATAACCAGTCTGCAGGCCCGTGCTCAGTACCGGAGGGAAATGAGAGAAAAACACTGAGTTGACAGGAATAAGGTAGTGGAACTGTAGGTTTTTTTCCTATTAGAGCATTTATGCAGACACTTTTGGAATTTGAGTGCTGAGCCAGACCTGGGGCTCTCAGTAAAGCACAATCAATGAAAATGCTTTGAAAAACATGTGGCCTGTTGGTCAAGTACAGCACAGACGTTTGGGCACAAAGGATGTCATTGCTAAAAAGTGCCTGGATCAAGTTCATCCAACAGCAGCCAAGCTGATCATGCAGCTGTGCTGGTTACCTACATTCGTGTGGGGCTAAGGGGTCTTCAACTGCTACTGCTGGGATGACTGACGACATATTTTGGAAGCTGTAACAGTAGACCAGAGAACCCTACCTTATATTCCAGAGTTTCTTTGAGCATGTTTTCCTCCTCTTGGGAAAAGTTCAGCAACACCGACACAGCTTTTATAAGATGAAAAGCCTGAAACACAGTAAGTTTTGCTGCCATAGGCCAAGGTGGAGGTGAGGCGGGGTGGTGGGGGAGCTACATGGCATGTCCTGCTTGCTTTGGTTGGCAGGACCAGGTGGTGGGTGACGCTCTGGCACTCTGAAGTTTGGCAGCAATGATAGGTTCTTTCTTCCCCTGCATCCTCAGGGGCCTGGCAGGCTTCAGGGAATTTCCCCAGCAGCTACCCGACCGTTTGGCAGGACCCAGGAGTGATGGGTGGATTCTGCTCCCGGCCTCCACACCCAGGCCAGGATTTAGAAGTGGAGCCCACATCTCCCACCAGGAGCCGGTTCCTGCATGGCCTCTCCCGCCAGCTGTTCACTCCGCAGGCCAGCGCCAGCAGGAGAAATGACTGAGCGCCCACAAGGGCGTCAAATCAGGATGTACGAGGAAAAGGGAGAAATGGGCTGGGCAGGGGTTCCTGCAGGACAGACTGTAGGGCGGGGCCTCAATACCCAAAAGACACTTCAAAAGCCCTTTACCTCGGATTCGCGACAGGACATGAATTTTAAAACCACATGCTTAAGGTACTCAAAGTTGATCTCGCGGGCATCCGTCAGGTCAGCGTTATTCGTGACGGAAGGCGCCATGTTTGCCATGTCAGGTCCAGGTTTCTCCCGGACTTCGAAGAGCTCATTATCGGGTCTGATTTTCTGAAAAACCAATGGGAAAGATGTTACACTGAACCGTCTGAGGCAGGTGGGAAAAATCACACGGGAGGTTCACCTGGTCCAAACCATCATCACTATTGTAGGACAAAAAGGGCCCCACCTGAGAAGGAAGCACCTCCAGGTGGGCTTGAGGAGGGAGTGGCATCATTTGGGGAAACTCAGATATTCCCTTATCCGTGGCAAGAACACATGTCCCTGGGGCCTGGAGCTGCTGGCATCCCGCATCGGGCCAAGCACTTCGCCACACACACACTGTCAGAGCGTGGCTGTGCTGGCCTGGCAGACAGCCCCACTTTCAGATGAGGATGCAGGCTCAGAGAAGGCAGGCAGGGCCGCGGCCACGGAGCTGCTTCAGAGGTGCATGCAGGCTGGCAGGCTGGCCCACCAGCTAACACTGGACTGCCCAGTGACCCCTTGCAATTAATCAGGGGTTGGGGGGAGCATAGGCAGCGAGGGACCTCAGGGGGACCAGGCACAGGCAGCAGGGGGAGGGCTGGGAAGTGGGGCCAGCTCCTGTGGGGGCACTCACCAGCTCCTTCTGCAGAGTCTTCCGGAGCTCCAGCATCCGCTGCTGCATCTGCTTTATGGTCTGCGACAAGCCCCACCCCACAGACAGTCAATCATTATATGCATGTTTCACCAAAGGAAACAGAGCCGAAGATCCCACGGGGTCCCCTGTACACCTGTGAGGAGCCTCTGCCCTGAGAAGTCATCCTGAGAGGCTGGTGCTCAGCTGTCGCATGTTGTGCCTACGCCTGCTGGGCTGTCATCCCTCTTGGGCCACTGCTTTCACACACTGGAGTCTCCAC